CAGCAGCCCGGCAGGTGCACCCACTCCAGCAGCACCTCCCAGCAGCCACAGCAGAAGCTCCAGAACCTCTAGCCGCAAGCCAGGAGCACTGTCAGTCGGACCGCCAACAGCAGGCTCAGCGCCCACACACCTCAGCAGGACCAGCTCTAGGAGAGAACTCTCAGACTCAGCAGCTCCCAGCACCCACAGTCGAGCACCGGGGGCGCGCCAGCAGCAGTACCCTCTGCAGCCGAAGAACCACCAGCACCAGCAGCACGCCTCAGCGCCTGGCAAACCACTCACGCAGCTCCCGTGGGGAGAGTGGCTCCAGGCTAGACGAAGCACCCCCAGGCACAGCACCTCCAGGCTCAGCACCCCTAGACACAGCACCCCAGGCACAAGCAACCCCCAGGCTCAGCACCCCCAGGCTCAGCACCCCCCAGGCTCAGCAACCTCCAGGCTCAGCACCCCCAGGCACAGCACCCCCAGACTCGGCACCTCCAGGCTCAGCACCCCAAGGCCAAAGCACCTCCAGGCTCAGCACTCCAGACTCGGAACTCCAGGGTCAGCAACCCCAGACTCCGCACCCCCAGGCTCAGCTCCCGCAGCAGCACCAGAGAGTCACCAGTGACCTCGACAGGCTCGACCGCGTCTACCTGGGACACACCTGAAGGGGCAGGACCCTGAGGGGGGAGGGGGACTACCGGGGGGGGACCTGGCACCAAGAAGAGCGGGGGTGGGGGGAGGACGGAGTGCGGTAGGGGAAGAGGCGGGTAGTAGGGTACCGACTCGTCGAACGTGACGTCCTGGGAGTGCAGCAGAAACACGTCGAGAGGAGGGGTGGTAAACACGCCCCCCAGGGGCGCTGGGGGGGAAACCCAGGAAGACGCAGGGAGGAAGAAGCACGAGGGGGACAGCTTGTCCGCAGACAGGTCGCGAACAAACCGCCCGAGATCCCCAGACCCGGAACGCCGACGCATCGCCAACCTTCCCCGTCCACAGCAGGGCTGGGGAGGTCTCCGGTCGAGAGACCCTGGGGTGGAGGTTGATCTGGTGCGCAGCGTAACTGACCGCAAACGGCCACAGAAAATGGGGAGCAGCCGCATGCATCATGGACGTACGAGCGACGTCCATGACCATGCCAATGCGGCGCTCAGCAATCCCATTCTGCTGTGGTGAGTCCGGAAGCGTGAAGGTCTGACGGATGCCTCGCGCACGACAGTAGGCACTCAGGAGGCCAGAGGAGAACTCTCCGCCTCTGTCCGAGTGCAGACGCAAAACAGGGAAGTCAGAGCCAAAGCTCCTCCGAAGCTGGAGACGAGCTGCGCGGATCCAGTCGATCAACACCTCAGTGACCTCACCCTTGCTGCGCAAGGGGAAGACTGTGGTGTAACGCGAGTAGTCGTCAACCACCAGCAGGAAGTAGCGCTCCTGACCCTGTCCACGGACGCGGGCTGGGCCCCACACGTCCATGTGAAGCGTCTGCAACGGGGCCTCTGTCGGAGGAAACTGGGAGGAGTGAGGGGCAGCACGCTGGCGCCCCTCGACACAGGGGACACAGGTGGGGCCAGGGCCCGGAGGAAGGGGAGGGAGAGACCGGGGAAGACCAGACACAAGGACTCGCGAGGCCATGCCTCTGAGCCGAAGCAGAGAGGGGTGGCCAAGGCGGTGGTGCCAGAGGAGGGTCTCGTGAGACAGACGACGGCACGAGCAGGGGGCAGACTCAGGACCAGACCTGGACGCTGCAGCAAACACCTGACCAGACGAAGGGACCCTACCAGACTCAGCACCTGGAGGAGAAGCAGTGGTCAGTGTGTACAGGCTCGACCCTGGCCGACGTGTAAACGTAGCCAGGTGGCGACCTGTATCCGCCTCCGTGCAGTGGGTTACCCGCTGACGAGCAGGGGTGAACTGGTGGACACCCGCATCCTGGAGGTCAGCACCACTCACCAAGTTCGTCGAGAACGAGGGGAGGTAAAGACCAGTCAGGGTGCCAGAGGGGGCCGCCGGACACGGGAGGACAGTGGAGAAGCGAGACAGGACAGGCCCCCCAGAGGGGTCAGCCAGGGACACCGCAACCGGCCGACTCAGCGGCGTGAGAGTGGTGCGGTCCCTAAAGAAGGAGCGAGATGCTCCAGAGTCAAGGGTGAAGATGTGAGAGGCCGAAGCCGGCACAGTACCTGAGAGGGCAGACTCACCAGCACCTGAGAGCACAGACGCACTGGCACCTAGAGCAGCAGCCTCACTAGTACCTGACGCGGCAGTACCAATGCCCGGGCCGGGCGGGAAACACCGGTAACAGTCATCCTCATCACTACCAATCGCAGCATACATAGCAGAGAAATATCATCAAAATCAAGATCATAAATAGCTACGCCAGCCCAAGACAGCTCTCCCCAGCGGGGGATCTCAGCTGCCTCCGGAAACTGCTGACGCCAGGCGTCAGTCAGGCGGCCAAAGCAGCGGCGGGCTGTGTGGGCACCTCCACACCTCTCCCCTGCACGGTCACCGGTGCGAAGAACGTAGGGGCAAGGACCAAGCGCACCACCACGCTGACGCTGCGAGTACCACTCACGGAGCTGCTGAGGGGCGGGGACGGTGCGAGCGAGGAGCGCTGCTGCTGCTGGGCTGCTGCTGCGGCTGCTGCTGCTGCTGCTGCTGCTGGCGCTGACCACCCCCAGAGCTGCTCCGCTGGGACGAGCCACTCCGACCCCCGCCTCCACCGCCACCCCCGCCTCCACCGCCACCCCCGTCTCCACCTCCACCTCCCCCACCAGGACCGTCGCTCCCACCGCTCCCACCGCCTCCTCCGCTACCACCTCCGCCGCCACCTCCGCCTCCACCGCCGCCACCAGTACCTCCACTCCCGCCACCACCCCACCGCCACCCCCACTCCCCCCGCCACCCCCACCGCCTCCTCCACCGCCCCCTCTAGCTCCACCCGCTCCCTTGCCCCCCTTGCCCTTGCCAGAGCGGCGTCTGCCGCTGGGGGCAGACGCCGCGCCGACCGACTCAAAACCAATGAGGTCGGCCGCAGCGGCAGAGGCGACAGAGGGCAGCAGGGGGGAAGGACCACACCCCTCAAAGATGGGGGTGCGAGGGTCACCCCGAGAGGCCCCTACAGCGGACAATACTCTCTCAGCCGCTAGCAGGGACTCTCAAGGAGGTCGACAGTGAGAGTGGTGGGACAGACAGAGAGAAACTGGTCCCATAACGATACGAAGGGACTCAAGGAGACGGGTGACGAGAAAGTGAGAGTGATGTACATGGGAGGCAGGGTTCGCAGCGCGAACTCAGCAGGAAGGGCAAGCGCGGTATGCGTGGTGTCACTAGCACGGAGGTTGGTACGAGGTCAGCGACATTGGGAAAGGAAGCGAGTGTTAGGGATAGAGAAAACGGTAGCATGAGGCGGCTAAGGGTAGCGGAGGAAGGGGAGGATGTAGCGTGCAACTACAAGCGTCGTACAAGGCCTGAGCGGTCTTGCACTGACTAAAGTGGGCACGGCTCAAGGAAGGGAGGTGGCGACGCACAGCAAGACGTGCAGCAGCATCGCGTGTGTCGCCCACTTGGAGGCGAACGGCAGAGTCAGCATCAGCAGGTGGGGCAGGGACAAGCGCCAGAGACAAAGTCAAAGAGGAGAGACCTATCTATCGCATCACACAGTAAGTACAGCTGCCAGGTCTTCAATCCAGACGGCAAAGTCAATGGCCCTCCCCCTCAGCGTCAAAAGTAAGAACATTGGTGGGTGGCCATGGCAGCAGCTGAAGTCTCACCGGGCTGGGAGAGTCGGGTTAGGTCAGCAGCCATGAGGAACACAGCTCAGGAACAGCAGCACGGCTCCTCAGGCGGCTCGGGCGGCTCGGGCGGCTCGGGCGGCTCGGGCGGCTCGGGCGGCTCGGGCGGCTCGGGCGGCTCGGGCGGCTCGGGCGGGCAACGGGCGGCTCGGCTGCCTGCTCGGGCGGCGGCTCGGCCGAAGCTCAGCGGCTGGCTCGGGCGGCGGCTCAGGTGCCCGGGCGGCGGCTCAGGCGCGGCGGCTCGGCTGTTGCTGGGCGGCTCGGCGGGGCCGCGTAGCAGAGGGCGGCGGGGCCGCGTAGCAGAGGGCGGCGGGGCCGCGACCGAAGAGGGCGGCGGGGCGCGGTAGCAAGGGCGGCGAGGCGCAGCGTAGCAGTGGGCGGCAGAGGCCGCGTAGCAGAGGGGCGGCGGGGCCGCGTAGCAGAGGGCGGCGGGGGCCGCGATCGAAGGGCGGCGGGGCCGCGTAGCAGAGGGCGGCGGGGCCGCGTAGCAGAGGGCGGCGGGGGCCGCGTAGTAGAGGGCGGCGGGGCCGCGTAGCAGAGGGCGGCGGGGCGCGGTGCCGCGTAGTAGAGAGTGGCGCGGTGGGCCGCAATCGAAGGGCGGCGGGGCCGCGTATCAGAGGGCGGCGGGGCCGCGTGGCAGAGGGCGGCGGGGCCGCGTAGCCGAGGGCTGCGGGGCCGCGATCGAAGGGCGGCGGTGGGTCCGCGTAGCAGAGAGGGGCGGCGGGGCCGCGATCGAAGAGCGGCGGGGCCGCTAGGGAAGGGGCGGCGGAGCAGCTAGGGGAAGGGCGGCGCAACGGGCCGCTAGGGGCGACACGACGGGTCGCTAAAAAAAACGCGCCTCGGGGCGCGGTTCGGTGGGCCCTAGAAGCAGTCCCTAGGAGGGAACCTGCTCTGATTCCATGTGAAAACAAAGAACGAGAATAAATGACTATGAAGTGAAGTGATAACAAATAGGAAACCCTAATGTGTTGTACCCCCTATGGGATACCCCACTATAGCCTACACAAACAAAGTAAGCTATATGTTCTGACACACAACACCTCTGTCACTGCATCTGCCCCTTTCCCTATAGCTTGCACTGCTGGTCTACTGTTGTCATGGCTTCCCCTAGTGTCCCTAGCTTTTGACGCTGAGGGTCGAGCCATTGAGTTTGAGGTCTGGGTCGACGACTTCCAGCTAATCTTACAGTGCGATAGGGAGGACGGTCTCTCTCTCTTTGACCTCACCTCTTGGCGCCTCTCCTGCCCCTGCTGCTGATGCTGACGCCACTGTTCGCTCTCAGTGGGCCCACGCGCGATGCTGCTTCCACGTCTTGCTGTGCGTCGCCACCTGCCTACCACTAAGCGCGCGGCACTTTTAGCTAGTACAAGAGTGCTCAGACCTTGTACGACGCTGTAGTTTGCGCGCTACTCTTCCCCTGCCACTGCTGCACTGAGCCGCCTCATGCTACCGTACCTCTTTCCCTGACCTTGCTGCCTTTCCCACAATCGCTGACCTCATTACGCACCTCCGCACCTAGTGACACTCGCTACGCGCTGCTGCGCCTCCTACTGAGTTCTGTGCCAAGAACCCCCCCCCCCAATGTACATCACTCTCTATACATAGTCCACCCGCCTCCCTGACTCCCTTCGCGTAGTCAGGGAACCACTTCCTTTCAGTCTGTCCCACCACTCTCACTATTGACCTCCTAGAGAAGGCACTCCTAGCAGCAGAGAAGAGCATAGTCGCTGTAGGAGCCTCTCCGTGGGTGACCCTCGCACCCCCATCTTTGAGGGGTGCTCCCATTCCTCTCTTTTGCCCTCCGTCGCCTCTGCGGCTGCGGCCGACCTCGTTGGTCTTGAGTCGGTCGGTGCGGCGTCTGCCCCTAGCGGGGAGAGGCTGCTCTAGCAAGGGCAAAGGGGGCAAGGGCGCGGGTGGAGCTAGCGGGGGTGGTGGAGGTGGCGGTGGAGGCGGCAGAGGGAGTGGGGGTGGCGGTGGGAGTGGTGGTGGGGGTGGAGGTGTCGGTGGCAGCAGTGGAGCGGAGGCGCGGAGGCGGTAGCGGTGGGAGCGGAGGCGGCCGTGGAGGAGGTGGAGCTGGTCGGGGTGGCGCTTCACAGCGGAGCGGCTCCAGTGGTGGTCCGCGCCAGCAGCAGCACTAGCAGCAGCGGTCTCAGCACATCCCCCACCCTCAGCAGCTCCGTGAGTGGTACGCACAGCGTCACCGTGGTGGGGGTTTGGTCCGTGCACCTACGTCCTTCGCACCGGCGACCTCGCGGGTGAGCAGTGTGGGGGTGCCCACCCCACCAAGCGCTGCTTTTGGCGCCTGACGGACACTTGGCGTCAGCAGTTCCCGGAGGCTACTGAGATCCCCCGCTGGGGAGAGCTGTCTAGGGCAGGTGTAGCCATCTATGATCTTGACTTTGATTGCTATCCTTGCTGCAATGTATGCTGTGACTATTAGTGATGAGGGTGACTGTTACCGGTGTCTCCCGCCCGACCCGAGCATTTAGACTGCTGCTCTAGGTACTGGTGAGGCTGCTGCTCTAGGTGCCAGTGAGGCTGCTGCTCTAGGTGCCAGTGCGTTTGCGTCCTCAGGTGTTGGTGAGTCTGCGCTCTCAGGTACCGCGTCGGCTTCGGCCTCCCTCACCTTCACACTTGACTCAGGGGCTTCTCGCTCCTTCTTTCGAGACCGCACCACACTCACGCCGCTTGGTCGGGCCGGTTGCAGTCTCCCTGGCTGACCCCTCTGGGGGACCTCTCCTCTTTCACTTCTCCACTGTCCTCCCGTGTCCGGCTGCCCCCTCTGGCACCTTGTCTGGTCTTTACCTCCCCTCGTTCTCAACGAACTTGGTGAGTGGTGCTGACCTGCAGGATGCGGGGGTTCACCTGTTCACTCCTGCGAGTTAGCGGGTGACCCACTGCTCGGACGCTCGCACAGGCAGGCACCTGGCCACGTTTACGCGTCGGCCGGGGTCGAGCCTGTACACCTTGACCACTGAGTCTCCTCCTGTCCCTGCGTCAGACCAGGTAGCTGCGTCGGGTCAGGTGTTTGCTGCAGCGTCCAGGTCTGGTCCTGAGTCTACCCCCTGCTCGTGTCGCCTCCTGTCTCACGAGACACTCCTGTGGCACCACCGTCTTCGTCACCCCTCCTTGCCTGTCTCCGAGGCATGGCTTCCCGTGTCCTTGTCTCTGGTCTATCCCGCTCCCTCCCTCCCCTTCCTCCGGGGCTTGGTCCTTCCTGTGTCCCCTGTGTCGAGGGGCGGCTGCGGGCTACCCCGCACTCCTCTCAGTTTCCCTCGACAGAGGCCCCGCTGCAGACGCTTCACATGGGACGTGTGGGGCCCGGCCCGCATCCGTGGAGAGGGTCACAAGCGCTACTTCCTGTTGGTGGTTGACGACAACTCGCGTTACACCACAGTCTTCCCCTTGCGCAGCAAGGGTGATGTCACTGAGGTGTTGATCGACAGGATCCGCGCAGCTCGTCTCCAGCTCAGGAGGAGCTTCGGCTTGGACTTTCCTGTTCTGCGTCTGCACTCTGACCGAGGCAGAGAGTTCTCCTCTGGCCTTCTCTGAGCCTACTGCCGTGCGCGAGGCATCCGCCAGACCTTTACGCTTCTGGACTCTCCACGGCAAAATGAATTGCTGAGCACCGCATTGGCATGGTCAAGGACGTCGCTCGTACGTCCATGATGCATGCGGCTGCCCCCCCATTTTCTGTGGCCGTTTTGCGGTTCGGTACGCGGCGCATCAGATCAACCTTCACCCCAGGGTCTCCATGCCGGAGACCTCCCGAGCTTAACTGTGGACGGGGAGGTTGGCGATGCGTCTGCGTTCCGTGTCTGGGAATCTTCGGGCATTTGTCCGCGACATGTTTTGCGGACAAGCTGTCCCCTCGTGCTGCTCCTTGTGTCTTCCTTGGCTTCCCCCCGACGCACCAGGGTGGCAGTTCTACCACCCCTCCTCTTGTTGTGTTCTGTCCTCCCAGGACGTCACGTTTGACGAGTCGGTCCCTACTACTACCCGCCTCTTCCCCTACCGCACTCCTTCCCTCCCCCCGCCTTCGCACTTCCTTGTGCCAGGTCCCCCCCCTGGTAGACCCCCTCCCCCCTCAAGGTCCTGCCCCTTTAGGTGTGTCCCAGGTAGACGCAGTCGTGCCGGTCGAGGTTGGTGGTGACTCTGGTACTAGCTGTGGGTGCTGGCGTGGGGGTACTGAGCTTGGGAGTGCTGAGACTAGGGGTGCTAAGCCTAGGGTGCTGAGCCTTGGGGTCCTTCGCCTGGGGGTGCTGAGCCTGGGGGTGCTACGTCGGGAGCTGCCGAGCCTAGAGGTGCTACGTCTGGAGCTGCTAAGCCTGGGGGTGCGGAGCCAGCGGCCGCTGGACCTACTAGTGTGACGTCTGGCGGTGCAGGGCCTGGAGGTTCTCTGGGTGCTTCGACTCGGCGGGAGCCACTCTCTCTGCAGGAGCTGCGCGACTGGTTTGCCCAGCGCTGGAGGGCGTCTTGCTGGAGTTGCTGGACCTGCGAGTGCAACTGGAGTCGGAGCTTGTGAGGGTGTTGGCGCTGAGGCTACTGCTGTCACTCCTGGCGGCGGTCCTGCTGCGGGTGCTGCTGGTGCTGCTGGAGGTCCTAGAGCTGGAGGTGCTGTTGGCGTTGGTGCTGCCTCTGGGGGTGCTGGTGCTGTCCCTGCTCTTTGTGGTGTGGCCACGCGGCCTCGACCGTACTTTGTTGCGCTCCTTCAGCAGGTTCTTGGTCTTCCTTCTCCCTTAGAGTGTCCACAACCCGTCCAGTCCCATTCACAGTTACCGCCGGCCTCCCTAGTGCCTGCTCCTTCTCCCTACACTGGTCCTACTGGAGGTCTTGGTGAGCGTCGTGCGTCTGCGTCTCGTCCTGCATCGCCTGTTCGTGCTGCTCGCACTAGTGGTCGCGGTTCCCGTAAGCGTCCTCCTCCTGTCCCTGTCACGCACCAGAT